TTTTAAAATACAAGTTTCTAGTTCTTAAAAAGGATTTAGTTTTAAAATTCTAGTTTCTTGTACAAATTTGAGCGAAGTTATTTGAAGATAACTTTAACTAGCCTCTGAAATAAAATTTCTTAATACATTCTCCAAATTTTCCCATTGTGAAATGGTTCCTTTAGGAGGCTCTCTTTGAAAGTTAAGAAAACGACGGATAAGGACGTGCAAAATAAAATAACCCTGAATCACCTGTTTACCATGATAATTTATATTACTTTTAAACATATTATGTTGGTCAAGCTTTTAGCATGCTCAAGCTTGAGCCTAAAATTATATTGTATAAAGTTTAAGTTAATGATTTATTATATAAGTAAGATTTAAATTTTCGCTAAAAAGATGTCTATTAAGTGTTCAATTATGCCATGAACATGATTATATTTAAAAGGATATTTGTATCCAATTAAAAAAAGTTTTAAGATTTATTTTGCAGATTTAAGCTTTTCTAGTTAAAGTTTACTTAACTTTTCATTCGTTTGTAGCCCTAGCTAACATTAATTCTAGAAAAAAAATATTTAAGTAGATCGAGTGTGTTATATCATTTGTAGTTTGTAAAATTAAATTGCTCTTACTAATTTAAATAAAATCTTGTGTGGCATTTTTAATTAATTTTATTCTTATTATAGAATGTATATTTAAATTTTTTATCTTTTATCTTTTTACTATCATTAATATCAGAATGTATTTATATTCAATACCATTTAAATGGCATGTTTGTATTGGATAAATTACAAATGATGTGATGTATTCAGTCTATCTAAGAATTTCTCAATCCTAAGACATAATGAAAAGAATAATTCATTATTTTCATCTCAATTATCATTGAAAAGCCTTTAGAATTGATTTGGGACTTCTATAGTCTTCTATTTTTTACATCAGCTTTCGCTATTTAATAATATTACCCATAAATCAAATATTTATAACTTGGACAAATTTTTTCAACTTCTACTTTCACTCTTATTTCTTATTGCTGCCTCTATAATTGAATTATCTTAAGTGATTTTTTATCATTTTCTTTTCAATATATATGCTTTACTATGTTTTCTCTTACAATCACTTACAAAATTTCTTCATAGTCGTACTCTCATTTCAAGGTTCTTTTGTGAAAATCTTGCATTTACCATGCTTCCACCATTTTCTATATATTTTAGCATTTAATATTTATCATTTGTGTTTTCCTAGCTTTTTATTATCATCATGGGTAAAAGAGCAAATTGGCTATTAAATTATAGATTTCTGATTGTTTGGGACCCTAAACTTATTGTTGGTTTAATGTGTTCTTTTAACATTTGAAAATAATATAATGTGATCTCTATCGTTAACAGAAATTAATTTTAACTGTTAATTGACAGAAAATAATCTCAAAAATAAAAAAAAAATGGACCTATAAAATTTTTGGGTCATTATTTGGTCAATTAATGGTTAACATTATTTTTTGTTAACAATAGGAGTCAAATTTTATCATTTTCAAAAGTTAAAGGATAATATCTCACTAAAATTGAGTCTAGAATTCCAAACACTTTTGGATTTATAATTTAAGAAACAATTTGCCATTTAACCCTATCATTATTGGGTAGCCTACATTGATTATTTATATTTTTTAAATAATATCAATAATAAATGATATTGTTGTCGTTGTTGTTATAAATAATAAATGATATTATTATTGTTGTTGTTGGTGGTGGTGTTGTTGTAAGTATCTACCGTTCAAACTTATGTGTATCTCAATTTGGGTTTGGTTCCTTTCCTTACTTTCTCTCAAGCCATAACGGTTCAAAATTGTTACTTTTGTAAAATAATGAAGTGAATAAATTCATTCAGTGAAACTATCTAATTTAACTATTGGAGTGATCCCTACATATAAGTTCAATAGATTTGATTAATTCAGATATGATTGCCGGGATTTATTCTAATGGAGGCAATATAATTTCAAAACATAGTTTAAGCAATTAATTAGATTCATTCTGATCTAATGGTTAGATCCAAGTCGTTGGAACAGCATATATAATTAAGACGATTAGCCTGCGCAAAAGACCCAAAAATAAAATTTAAAAAAAAAAAACAAGAAGAAGAGGAAGAGAATGACAATAAAGTCTCATGACATGTAATTTATGACAAATTAAGTTATAAATATTGATTGTAATTTGTAAACATAAATCCTGTCTACAAACTAAAAGTTATATTTAGAAAAAATGTCTCATTTACAATTAGACTTTTTGAATTTATAATTGTCTGAATTAATATTTACAATTAATTTTTCAGAAGATTTTCTTGGGATTTAACTCTCATAAGTTCATTATTTTGAGACTTTAATGTAATTTTAAAAAAACAGTTAAGTACACGTGACAAACATGTATATTTTCATATCTTTGATCTTAGTTGACAAAGTCCGTCAGCTACACCCTTTTTTACTGTCTGACTTGTTTCTCACCATAATAGAAACATTAGCCTGTTACGTGTCATCAGAGGAAGAAGAAGAAAGAGAAAAAAAAACTCACAACAATAGAAGGAAGCAAAAATCAAATGAACTCTCATCAGGAGGAGAATCATGAGCCATTGATGAGGGTGGACAAGGATGAAGATGATGCTTCTTGGATTCCACATTATGCTTCTGCACAAGTCGAGGAGTTTCTGGGAACAAGTACTATCAGAGAGAAGAAGAAGCTTGTTCTCTCACTGGAATGGTGGATTAGGGTTTCTGCTTGGGAGACTAAGCTGATGTGGCAGCTTTCATGGGCTGCTGTAACATCTGGTGTGTTCAACTACAAGTTGATATTTGTGACTCTCATATTTGTTGGCCATTTGAGTGACTCACAGCTTGCTGGTGCATCACTTGCTTGTCTTGGTCTTCAAGGTCTTGCTGAAGCTGTCATGGTAAGCATTCTTCAGCTTTATAATGATTCTCTAAAGCTCATGCGTACCCTATTTTGATCAGTGTTTTATTTTCTGTTGTGACAAAAAAAAAATAGTATGTGATTTTCTATAAAGTTAAATATATTTTTTAAAATATATATACTAATTGTTAATGATGATGGCCGTGGTTGCTAGTAATTATATATTGATGATGATGGCTTCCATTAATGAAAGTAATTTACTATAATCATATATAGTGTATTTTAAAAATAAAAAAAACTTTAAGTTATTTTCATTTTTTTATTTTTAAAAAATAAAAATGAAATCAATTTTGAAAACATTTAATTTCAAAAAACTTATTCCAAAAAATTTTGAGACCTTTTTTTATGTTTTTTTGTCAATTAACAGTCAAATTTAATATTTCTATGTTAATGGTGAGGGTAATATTGTGTTGTTTTGTAATGTTGAAGGAAAATATTGCACTAAAAATAAGTTTAAACGCTAACAAAAGAACCTAATTTGCAGATTAGGGAAGAAAATGGGTGGTTTCAAGTTTCATGGAAGATGCATAAATTGTAGATTGAAAGAAATTCTTCTTCTATTAAAAAATATAAAATATTTTTAACTAAATTTAGGTTAAGGAGTGTAAAATATTATAATACATGAATCTTTCTTGTAATTTTCTCTAAGCCTAAAGGGTGCATTTGTCCCTTGGCTTCAATGCAGCGACAGCCACGTTCAATGTCTGTGAGTTAAGGGTGTCCGAAACCAATTTAAATCAATTGTGCCAAACCAAACAAATTAACATGAGTCCATCAAAACTGATTATAAATGAGACTGGATTTGGCTTTTATTAACAAAACCAATCCGTTTAATTTAATTCAGATTTTTGTCTTTAAAACTTGAATTAAATCGAACCAAACTTTATTATATTTATTTTTATAAATTTTTCTAAGCCTTTTCCTTTGTTTCAAGTTTAGTTATTTGTAAATCACTAATAAAAATCCTATTATAACTGGATAAATGTTTTTTTTATAATTATTTGTGACAATTTCCAATATATATTAGTTTTAAATATATATTAAATACCTTTTAATAGTTAAATGTGTGTTAAAAATATTTTTGTCCTCCGGATTTTTTAGTTGAAAATAACAATTAATATTTTAAAAAATATCAATGGATATGCATCCATATTGATTATTAAAAAAAATCTTACAAATATAAAATCAAACTTAATCCAAATCTAAATCAAACCAAATGGAACAAAACCTCTCAAATATCAAACCAAACAATTATAAGAAAAACTGAATATATTTCAAGCTTTGATGAAACAATCAATTCGATTTGATTTAATTTTTTTTTCAAAACCATACCAAACTGGATTGTGTTTATATAGATATGTAGATAGATAAATATTCTCTTCGGTTTTATTTATGAGTTACATTCTAAAATATTTATTTGATACCATTTATAAGTCATGGTGTGATTTTTTTAAGGTAATATTTTAAAGGTATTTTTAAAATTATCTTTCATAAGAGAAAAAAGTAACATGACATTATTTTTTGAATTTATCATATATAGGGACATATTTGAAATTCTCTACACTTTTATTCCTTGTATTTTTTTGCATTAGTATTGATGAGGTTAGTAGAAATGACTTACTCTCTTTAGTCATATTTATAGGGTAGAGAAAGAAAATTTTTTTAATTCTATTTATAAGTCATCTCATTAAATTTTTATTGCAATTTTTTTATTTAACCTTCATTGAATATTAGAAATAGAAAATATATTGTTAAAGCATATATATTTAATAAAAATAAAATTAAAAAATTATTAAATTTTTAGACATAGTTAATAAATTTTAAGATATACGTAAGAGTGTGTGGGGCGGATTGTGTTTGTATATTTGAGCCATTAAAAAAAAAAACTAAAATAGTTCTAATCGTGTCAGCCAGTGTTTAAAAATACAGTTTGAATCACCGGTAACAAACATGGTACATTTTCATGCGTTTGATCGTTAGTTGAGAAAGAGAGATATAGTTGTCAGCTGATTCCTGTCCCTGTTGTCTCTCTCAGCATATAGCTACACCCCATGCCAGCACACTAAAACAATAAATTACAAAGCCTCAAACCTACTCAACAGAACAGATCAGCTAAGGAAGCGAAACATGAACTCTCATCACCAGGAGGCCCAAAATCATCACCATCACCATGAGCCATTGATAAGGGTGGACGAAGACGACGAAGACGATGCTTCTAATTGGATTCCACATTATTCATCTGCACAAGTTGAGGAGTTTCTGGGAAATAGGACTATGAGAGAGAAGAAGAAGAAGACACTGAAATGGTGGATTAGGGTTATTGCATGGGAGACGAAGCTGGTTTGGCTCTTATCATGGGCTGCTATAACGTCTGGTGTGTTCAACTACATGTTGATATTTGTTACTCTCATTTTTGTTGGCCATTTGGGTGACTCCCAACTTGCCGGTGCTTCTCTTGCTTGTCTTGGTCTTCAAGGTCTTGCTTATGCTGTCATGGTATGTATCTGCTTGTATCTGATCCAATCTATAAATAACTTGTAACATGTTTTATCTGAATTAAGAAAAATAGTAAAACTCATTAAATCTAAAAATTTATTTTTTTTTAATTTTATCCTTATTGAATATACATACTTTAGTAATGCAATCGATTCATAAATATTTAATAGGAAAAAAAGAAAAATTTATAATAAAAATTTATAAAGATATAACTTTTAAATAAAGTAAAAATAATTTTTTATTTTTCTTATAAACAGGACGGGAGGGAATATATATAAATTATTATTAATTATTAGCTATTAAATGTGGATACAGTCTCCATTATTGTCTCAATCCCTCTCATATATCATATTCCCTTCTCTTTTAAATGTAGGAGTTAGATAAATCAATTTACGTAAGTTAAAAAAGTTAGCTAAATTGGTTGTTTGTAAAAATATATTGTTTATTTTCCTAAAAAACACTCCATTTTTCAAATTATCTCAGTTGAGTGGACTGTCTTGGTTATGTGTGATAGTAATACTCAATAGTGTAGCAATGAGTGAAGGGGATAGTTTGAAGCCTGAGAGACATGTGGGGCCCACCCATGGTCCCATCTCGTTTTATTGTCTCCTATAGTTTGCCTCCAGAAAACAGGGCTATTAAAGTAGTATATTTATTTTTTTAAAAAATGTTTTAAACTTTTCAGAAAATAAAATGCCTCTTTTGGTCACGCAGAAAATAAAACACTGAACTGAATAAATAGGACATGCATAAGTTATGTTGGGAAGGTATATAGAATTTCCAAATGAATATAGTACATCCTTTTAAAAAGTTACCTGTGAGTCAACAAAAAACCAAGGTACCACTAGAATTCACCTGTGTCTAGCTATCCAAGGTCCACAATTACTCCTCCAATCAAGTATATAAATCATTTTTTAAAAATATAATTTGATTCACTTTATGAATTATTTATTGATTAGGATTGTCTTGTTTTAAATTAAAATTTTTAAATTATCTTTAAAAAGTATGAAAGAAAAAGATAAAAAAATAATATTATATAATTAATTTACTTTTTGCTTTTTATTCAAGGATTATGTTTAAAATTTTACTTACTTTTATTTCTTATACTTTTATTGTATTGATATTGATGAGATTGATGAAAATAATTTATAAATAAAATTGAAAAAAGTATATTATTTATTTATTTATTATTTATTGGTCTTCTTGGACGAGAATTTTGGTCACGTGGACCTATTGACCGCACGCCACAGCCACAAGAATTAAGAATAGTTTGTTGATGTTACCTACCCCAATTGTACCTATCAGTTCCATAAGTAGATAGAACCCAGCCTACTCACCGGTTCACAGTTCCCACAAAAATAATTTTATTTTATAAGGGGTATAAAAATGAAGCATGATCAGTGTAAACAAATAATTAATTAATGTGTGTTCTTTTTTTCCCCCATTCTTTGTCATTACACCATATGAAATCAAGTTTCGGTCTAACGAAGATCAAAACTTCAGAGTAATGTGTGTGTGTATCCACCATCTCTTCTATCTGTCCCTCCACCGAAACACGTGTGTTTAATTAATAACTTTTTTTGTGAATACATATCCATATATATATGTATGTATGTACATGTATATAATCTGTTTTAATTTATGTATATAATCTGTTTTAATTTATAATTATAGATGATCTGGATTGAATATAAAATGACCTCTCTTTTGACCTTGGCGCCATAAAGTGTTATATAATGATTAAATTATTACATATAATTATTTCATGCATCACTTCCAAAAATACTTTCTCCCATTCTTTTATGAAAAGTTTAGGAAAGATAAATTTTTAGTTCTTTCTATAAGGCATAATTCATTTGGCTTTATTTGTTTTTATTCTATTTATAAAACATCTCTATGATTTTTATGTCAATTTTTACCTTTTTGCCCTTATTAAATATTGGTAAAATTATTTAATATTGGAGTATTTTAGTTTTAAAGGATGTACTATCTCCGTTCCAATTTATAAGACACTTTTGGAGAGATTTGGTGTCTAGATATAAAATTTTTTGATAAAAATAAGGTTTTATTAATTATATTTTTCAATATTGTCCTTCTCATTATATTCTCTCTTTTTAATATTCTTTCACAAATATAATGGAGTATTAAATAAAGGGCTTATTTATAAGTTTATATTTTTATTTTGAAAAAATAAGTTGTAAAGTGCATTTGATGAACTTTAATGGTATGCATGATTTTGTCTAAATGTGCCTTATAAATTAAAACAGAGGCAAAGTATATTTAATAATGATAAAATTTAAAACTTATTCGTTGCATTTTTAGACAAAGTTAATAAAATTTATGTTTTCCTTGATTTCATTCAAACATGCTAAAAGTTACTTGTATATAAATAGAACTAGAGGGAGCAAGTCCTAGAGATCCATGAGGGCAGGACTCATGCGCACTTAGTCCTAGAGATTCTTAAATCTATGTGTCTCAGGGTATATTAGTCCAAATAAGGTCCCTCAATGCCTTTCCTGGGAAAACTCGAGCCACTTTAGGACCTTCAACCCCTCAATACTTCAATCCACAAATCTTTAAGCATAGTGACATGAGCTTACACACATAGATTATTAGTCAGATCTATTCTAGTTCACATGGTCCTCGTAAAGAGGCAAGTGCAAAGTATACTCTGAATCTTACTATGACAGAAATAAAATATTAGAGAATAAAACTTTCATAAGTGGGGGGGAGAGAGAGAGTTTAAAGAGACATGTTTTAGAAAACACATATTTTATTCCTCCAACGAGCTTTGTCTTATAAACTAGTTGAAGCCTCCTTATATAGACAAAGTGAGAAGGACCAAGGCAACTCCTCATGATTACAATAAGACAAACCAATTTCACATACTTATAGACTTTAGGCAATCATGACATAAAGCAAAAGTTAAAGTAAAATGACATGACTAAAGCTGTCAACTTCGCTTGAAAGTCAAAAGTGGCTTTTGATAAAGTTTATTACAAGACAAACTTGACTCTGATAAAAGAAAATAAAATTAGATTTCCTATTTCAATTATCACAGGCTTCTGTGGATGCATTCTTGATTTGATGACAGATTGAAGCAACTTTTTTCTTCCTTTCGGCACCTTCTGGCTGTTGGAGTGTCATGCATGATTGTTCCAACTGGTCATCATCAAAATATTGATCCATATCTTGAGAGGGTCCAAAAGTTAATGTGTCTTTTAGCTTTGAAAACAATTAGTAGGTTTGGGTCTTTATTTAGTATAGGTCTTGATTGTCTAGTGAAAATGATGAAGGAGTGGGTGAGGATGCTTTGTCATATGATTCCATCTATGTGCAATATCCTTTTTGGACAGTAAGACTTGTGAACCATTATGGGAACTCATATTAGATAGCTAGTGATGGATTATTAAGAAAGATGGGCTGATGAGGGATAAGCCCAAGTGAAGAGCACTTAAGATTAGAATCCATTGCTAGAGAGTTATTCATTTCACATAAAAATTCTTTTAATTCACATAAGGTTGAATTTTCATGTGATGGCTAATCATGTGTGGTTTTCCATAAACAAGCTTAGTTGGCAACATAAAGGCTTTTTTGGCTATTAAGATGGTAGGGATGATGGACAATGAAAAGGGAATAAGCTTTTTGTTCATATAAGGGTTTTTTCCATAACCTATTAATGAAAAAGGAATAAGCCTTTTGTTCACATAGGGTTGAATTTTCATATGATAATTAGTCATGTGTGGTCTTTTCCATAAATTGTTGAATCTAGAACTCAAATTCAATGGTTCCAAGGTATAGTCAATTACATTAGAGACTTTATTCCTTAGGTGTCTTATCATACTAGCCAGCTATCCAGACTATTGCAGAAAAATCCAACTCCTTGGGGTCCCAGTTAAATGAAGGCTGCCTAATGCTTGCAGAAGATTTTTCAACATCCTCCTCTACTTAGGATTCCTGACAAAGGACAACGCATTCTATAAATTGATACAAGTGATGATTATTAGAGAGCAATATTTATTTAAGAAGAAAATAGGAAGAGACATTATTGTGGCCATGCTAGCAAAGAGTTCAAAGATTCTAAAAAGCATTACCACATAGCCTACAAAAAAGTCCTGGTTGTAAAATGTGGCATTTAAAAATTCAACTTTCATTTTAGCCCTTACTACTTTGTGGTAGAAATGAACAACATATCATTCTCAAAGATCCTTGATCAGAATAGAAAGATACTCTTCGAAGCTCAACTCTTAAGATGGAAATATTGGTTTTCACGTTATAAATTCACAGTCCGACATATCAAAGGAAATCACAATACCATTATAGACTATCTCACTAGATCATAGAAAAATATCATCCTTATTACCCTTTCACAAATTCAACCCCTTTTCATCCTCAACATCATGCCAAGAAAATTAGTACTCCCTTCAGGCCATAGTCTAAGCTCTGTCCTTGAATTTTTAAAGCTCGTTAGAAGAAGTTTATTCTTTTGGCTTTACCTTCTTCTCCAAAAGACCCATATCCAACCACAGCTTGAATTCTTTGATATTGAAACTCCTTATCTAGCTGTTCCTTTTATTAGAGGTCCTATCCTAAATGAACTCATGTGGTACCTTTGGTCTCTCTCTACTTTGTGTGTGTCTTAGCCTTTCCTCCATTAGAAATATTTCACTATATTTAAGACTTTGCAAATGAAGGTTCAAACCTTTGGAAACTCTTTGACTGGTTTTCTCCAATCCTTAAATGGCATCAAGAACTCTCTAAGATCATTGAATCAGATAGGTTATGGAAAAAATTCCTGCATGAACAAAAGGCTTATTCCTCTTTCATTGTCCACCATTCTTACTATCTTAGCAGCCAAGGAAGCTTTTATGTTGTTAACCAAGCTTGTTTATATAAAACCACACATGACTATCCATCACATGAAAATTCAACCCTATGTAAATTAGAAGAATTTTTATGTGAAATGAATAACTCTCTAGCAACATATTCTAATCTTAAGTGTACTTTATTTGGGCCTATCCCTTATCAGCCCATCTTTCCTAGTGATCTATCACTAGCTATCCAATATGAGTTCCCAGAATGACTCACAAGTCTTGCTCTCCAAAAAAGATACTGCATATGGATGGAATCATATGATGGAGCATCCTCATCCACTCCTCTATCATTTCCACCAGACAGTCAGGACCCATATTAAATAGAGACTCAAACCTACCAACTATTTTCAGAGTTAAGAGACACGTTAACTTCTAGACCCTCTCAACATATGGATTAAGATTTTGATGTTGACCAGCTGGAACAATTCATGTGTTACACTCCAGTAGCCAGATGGTGTCAAAAGGAAGAAAAAAGTTACCTCAATTCATCATCAGATCAAGAATGCATCCATAAAAGCCTGTGATAATTGAAACAGAGAATATGACTTTATCTCCTTTTATTAGAGTCAAGTTTGTCTTCTAATAAACTTTGTCAAAAGCTACTTTTGACTTTCAAACAAAGTTGACAGCTTTAGTCATGCCATTTTACTTTTGCTTTATGTCATGATTGTCTAAAGTCTGTAAGCATGTGAAATCGATTTGTCTTATTGTAATCATGATAAGTTATCCTGATCCTCCTCACTTTGTCTATGTAAGGAGACTTTAGCTAGTTGGTAAGATAGAGCTCGTTAGAGGAATAAAATATTTGTATTTTCTAAAACATGTCTCTCTAAACTCTCTATCTCCTCTTCTGAAAGCTTGATTTTCTAATATCTTATTTCTGTCATACTAAGATTAAAAGTATGCTCTACACTTGCCTCTCTCTATGAGGACCCTGTGCACTAGAATGGATCTAACTAACAATCTATGGGTGTAAACCCATGTCACTATGTTTAGACATTCATGGATTGAAGTATTGAGGGGTTGAAGATCCTAAAGTGGCTCGAGTTTGCTCAGAAGAGGTGTTGAGAGACCTTATCTAGATCAATACATCTTGAGACACATAGATTTAAGGATCTCTGGGACTAGGCGTGCATGAGTCCTGCCATCGAAATTCATCGTCCATTAATTTTTATAAGTCACTTCGCATAAAAGAGTTAATTATTAATTATTTTTTATAACTAGATAGTAAAAAGTTACATGAGAGAGAAAATGATTTAAAAAATGATACATTTAAGAGGGATAAAGTTAGAATTTTCTTTCTCTTTTAGACAGAATCAATAATTTAATTAACCACATCTCCTTAATTTTAATAAGTTACTTATATAGTTAAAAATAACTTATAAATAGGATTGAAAAGAGTACTTATTATATTATTTTCATATTGTTTTTGTTTAATGTTGATCTATGTTTTCCAAGCTTGAGTCTTTGAGTTCTCAAAGGACGGGTTTAATGACGTAAAAGTTGAAAACTTTGCATGTACAATATAGTACATGCAAGTTCGCTAGATACAGTGGCTAAAAAATGAGTGATGGAGCAGGTAGGAATGGCTAGTCCAGTTCAAACAGTGTGCGGTCAAGCATACGGGGCCAAGAAATATGCAGTGATGGGCATCATCTGTCAAAGAACGATGATGTTGCAGTTATTAGCAGCCATTGTTCTGAGCTTCTTCTTCTGGTACTCTGGTCCGGTCCTCAAGTTCTTCGGCAAAAACGACACCGTCGAGATCGCAGAAATAGGCCAAGTCTTTGGACGTGGACTCATCCCTATGCTTTACGCCTATGCGCTTGTGTATCCCATGCAGAGATTTCTGATTTCTCAGAACATTGTCAACTTTCTGGCTTATGTTGCTGTTGGGGTTTTCTGTTTTCATCTTCTTCTCACGTGGCTCGTCGTCTCTGTTCTAGGGTTTGGTCTTCTTGGTGCTGCTCTTACTCTGTGTTTCTCTTGGTGGTTGCTTGTGTTCGTCACTGGCCTTTACATTGTTTTAAGCCCTTCTTGCTCCAGAACATGGACTGGCTTTTCTCGTAAAGCTTTCAAGTTGAAAGGATTGTGGACTTATCTCAAGCTTCTTGTTTCTTCTACCGCCATGATGTGGTATGTACGTGTCCAATAATCCTGTGTGTGTCGGATTTGGAGTCTCCTTTCCCTTCTAACACCTAAAATCTAAACCTTTTTATTTAAGAGAATTAGATGAATCTGTTTTTTTTTTTAACCATTAGTTGAGATAAAGGGCTGAGATTTTAGATATTAGACAGAGAAATGGACACCCCAAATTTCTGTGCATAAGAAAAATTAATCTGCATATGATTACAGTTTCAATCCTAGATGTGTGTGTCTATCAATGTTTTAAAAATTAAACTAGCAGGTTCAAACAAGCTCTTGATCTTGTTTGGTACAACCCGTAGAACTGGCCATGAAAAAAATTGGTTAACATAATAGATAAAACCGGACCGATTTATCTCAAAATAACTGGTTCAAATTATTTTTTTTTTAAAGGAAACTCGTTTCATGGACACAAACCGCATAATTCATTGCATTTCTTCCTCATTTTTCTTTTTATTTGTGTTTATTTTTTCTTACACCTTTAAATCTCTTTTTAATATGAGAATATCTTTTTAATCTTTGCGCATCCTATTATTTCCATATATATATAGTGTAAAAACTTTATTTTTTTTAATTTAGCCTAAATATGCCTTCAAAAAAATGGTTTTTGAATTATATCTTTGTGGATATGTTTCTCAATTTCTGAATACAAATATATCATCAACAATATATCATACTATCAAACATTTACAATATTTACTTAAAAATAATATATTTTACTTTTATTTCTTATTATATCATAATACATAAATTAAGAATATATTAGTTAATATATATTGTAAACTGGTTTAACCACAGTTCAATCAATGATCCAAACCAGTGTCTTGTCTTGTCTAATTTAATGATTGGTCTGGTCTTTAAAATATTAGTGTATGTGTATGTGGGTGTATATGTATTCATGGAAAGTAAATTTAATTGGGTTAACGAAGTAACAAGTCATATTATTAATAACTTGCAAGCTTTGATACTGTTAATTAATTGGAACTCTTATGAACCTTTGTCATGAAATTCGAATATTGTAGTTTGGATGTAGGGTTTGCTCTCGCTGTGTATGTTCTATCAGAGATGCTTCCCAACTCTACCATTGCAGTCGACTCTCTTTCCATTTGGTAACACTTAATTACTATTCATTCCTTCAATTTCTTCCTTAATTTATATCTCTGGATCTCATATATCTTTTTAATCCTTTATTAATTTTCTTTCAGTCTCAACTATGTCAACTGGCACTCTAGCTTTGTCACTGGCTTGTTACTTGCCTCCAGGTCTGTCACACACACAGACACAAACATGGCCATGGAAGTTTGAGTTTATAAGTCGTCCTTCTAGTTTTATGAGTACATATCGTTTGATGAAGCATTACGTGTACGTGCATGCAGTGTTAGAGTAAGCAATGAACTTGGGGCTGGAAATGCGAGGTTGGCAAAATTCTCAGTGGCTGTAAGTAATGGAATCGGCATCATCATCTGCTTGCTCTGTGCTGTGATTGTTTTGGTGTTTCGTGTGCAACTCATTAAGCTCTATGCCTCTGATTCTCAAGTTATTCGTCTCACTTCCTCTTTGTTCCCTCTTATTGCCCTCTACTTTCTCATCAATGGCAATCACTTTATCCTCTTTGGTAAGCACCTCATTTCATTATTAATTTCTCCTGAACAGAAATTAATCATTATTTGATCCTTATTGCTACTTTTGTCTCAATTAGAACTCAATATATCTTTAAAATACTTTGATTTATTACAACTTAATTCCTACAATTTTAATTTAGTTGAAACTCAGTCCTTGAATTTTGTTTCAGTGTAAATCAATTCCTATAATTTTAACTATTTAAATATTGATATTTATATTCTATAAAATCAAATTGTAAGGACAAAAAGTTATTTCTTAAAACTTAAGAACTAATATTTTAAATCACTAAAACTATATGAATTAATGATTGAGATGTATTAATGAGTTAAAGTTTGGAGACTAAGTTTCAATCGAGTCAAAATTATAGAGACGAAGTTGCACCAATCGAGATAAAATTTAAGAATTAAGTTATAACTTATGATTGAGCCAAAACTATAAAGAACTGAGAGACTGTTTGATTGTGCTTCTTTTTTTTTTAAATGATATTTTGTAATGCAATTTTCAGAATTATTTTTAGGACAAAACAAAAAATTGTTTTTTTATGTTGCTTGAAAAATAATTTTAGTTAAAAAATTGACCAATAGTTGTGGTCGTCAATAGTTAACCGTGATGGATTTTGATAGTAATTGACCATATCTTATGGTAATTTCTAGTAATTAAATGTAGTATGCTTTGAAACAAAAAGGAAGAAAAAAAAAAGAAATGAAAATAGTTCTAAGATGTTTCTATTTTTTATTTTTGAAAAACAAAAAATAGAATAAGTTTGAAAAAAATTTAAATCCAAAACACTTATTACCTAAATGAGTTTAATTTTTTATTTAGAAAAACAATTTTTAGAGCAAAATCAAGCCTTCTCCTTATTATATGTCCTGATTATTGTTTTTTCTTTGGTCAATTATACTCTTAAAACTGATGATGATGATGATGATGACATATATACATACACATGTCAGGGCAAGCAATAGGAAGTGGACGACAAGCCATGGTGGGTTGGATAAACTTGGTTGTTTATGCTATTGGCTTCGCTCTTGCCTACCTTCTTGGCTTCAAAACATCACTAGGCCTTGCTGTGAGTTTTATCACACCCTTCATTCATTTCATATATATTTGTGTGTTTATATTTCATACTATTTACTTTGAGTATGAATTTATTTTTACTATCACCCAAAAAAATGAAAAATTAAAAAAAGATACACTGCAAAATTGAAGTGATTTTGCAAGGATTATTAATATATAGATTAATTTGTGAAATTTCTGTTGCAAAAATTTTATGAAGAATTTGTAAATGGATATTTCATCGTAAATTTTCTATATATAGTGTATTCTTATGGAATAATTTATCATAAATTTTTCAAACGGATTTTAATGAATACTGTAATGTAATGTAAATATTATAAATGAACTGTATTACAATCATGTTGGTTATGATAATTTAATTTACAATGAGATAATGTAATAGCTCAATTGATATAATTTAAGGTTATCACTAATAACTAGCTAGTTCTCTTCTTTGTAACTATATTAATTACTCTCTTATAGATTATGAAAATTAATTAGTACTCTCTTAATCGCGAGGTTGCTGGTTTGACCAAAAATAAATTACAATTAATATTTGTGTTCTAATTTAATTATGTGGTTTAATTTGTGATGATTGTTTTAGGGTCTTTGTTGGGCTTGGGTTATTGGAATTGCCCTAGAGACAATTATTGTTGGTGGGATCATAATTCTCACCGATTGGGAAGTTCAGGTAATGCTCTATAAATTTTTAATATCACTTTTTTCTGTTACTTCAAAAAAAAAAGGTTCGTTAGTACTTATTATTTAGGTTTTTCTAAAAAAATCAGAAACAATTTTTTGTATTTTTAGATATTTTCTTATAAACAGAAATGAGAGCATCGTTATGGAAGACAGGAAAAAATAACATATATAAAACTGTATTTTGATCTCTTTACCAAAGAATTTTCTTTTGGATTTTTATAATTAATCTCTTTTGGAAAGGAAAATTAAATTATCCATTTTTTCACACAAAACATTTAGTAGACTTGCTTGAATCACCTTAAAAATAACTTGAGCATTTTTTCTATTTCCAAATTTGATACAAATAGTCTCATGTTAAAGTTACAAATAATCTCTTTATTTTTAATGAAGATTTGTATATATTTTTAAAATGAAGGAAAGAACTACTCCCTCTGTTCAAATGTAAGGTATTTTTAATTAAATTTTAATTTACTAAAATAGTTAATTATCTTTAAATTAATATCATATTTTTATATTTATTTCTATTTAATATGGTGCTTTTACTTTAATGTAAATATAAAATAATTTATTTATTATGAGCATTTTTAAAAAAATATAATGACTATACTTTAAAACACTAAAAATATCTTATATTTTTTAACATCCAATTCTTCCTACATTTTTGAATGTAGAGTGTATAAATATTAAAATGTGCAATTTAATCTTTATTTTAAGATAATTACTCTGCGTGTGTGTATTTCAAATAGAGGATAAGTTTTTTATTTATTTATGCAGACACACATTAATTACTCTAAACAAAATGGCATGCATGCTTTACTTTATATTTTACTTTGACCTTTGTGTAGGTGGAAAAAGCCGTGGCTCGTTTGCAAAATTCTGCCGATGAAAAGATTCTGAATGACTTGATTGATGATTAATATTAAAAACATTCGCTCGTTCAAATTGATTGATTGATTGATTCATGCACACTCTTATGAGCCAATAATCTCTAATGACGTGAAACTCACCCTTATAAGTGTTTATCTTGTTGTATGTAGTTTTTAAAACTATATAACTTCTAAGTGAATCTTTTATTGTGTTTTTAAGTACCCCGCTCAACTTTTCATTTTTCATCAAATAGGCTAATCTCACTTGCAAATTAATGGTTATGATGACAAATTGTAGTTCAAATTTTAATTTGTATATGCTCTCATTTTGTTAATTGACAAAATTAAGTGTTCATTGTCCTTTTTGCAGGTTGCTGCCTCAACAAATAAGGAAGTAGATGGACATATTCCCAATTACCCTAACTTGCCACCGCAGCTTATCTGTCAGCTTCACAATGTGACAATGCATGTAAGGATTGATCTGTTTGAGTAAATCTGCTTTGGAACGTTATTGTAGGGTTACTTTCTAAGCCTTTAAGCTTTATGACTTGCAGGCAGATTTAGAAACAGATGAAGTATATGCTCAAATGACTTTGCAACCTTTAAGTCCGGTACTTACTTTTCGACTGTTTGGTTTTATGAAATGTTTTCATCATTTTTATTTTAGTCATATCTTGACATCATATGTTTTGTAGCAAGAGCAAAAGGATATATATCTACTGCCTGCAGAATTGGGTACTGCCAACAAACAACCAACCAACTACTTCTGCAAAACATTAACAGCAAGTGATACCAGCACTCATGGAGGATTCTCTGTTCCTCGAAGAGCTGCTGAAAAAGTCTTCCCTCCGCTTGTGAGTAATGTTGCCTTATGGTTTGGTCAGTTATATATGACATGTAGCAATTACCTTGGAAGCTCTTAACCTTTTTTTCCCCTTCCTTTTTTCAATTTATTATTTAGGATTACTCGCAGCAGCCTCCTGCACAGGAACTAATTGCAAGGGATCTCCATGATAATGAATGGAAATTCAGGCACATTTTTCGAGGTTGGCTTTTTGAAGTATTCATTATATTTATATAATATTTGAATGCATTGTCAGTTTACTTTATCCTGCTAGATTTAATTATGGGTAACTCTGCACCACTTATCTGAGCATGTATCTGTAAATCCAAAATCTCCAATTTCAAACTTTCTAGATATTTTGATGCAAACCTTTACAATTGAGGTAACATTTAGGGCAAGGTATAATTTTTAATAGAGTAATTTTATTTTGGGGACATAGAATATATATTATATATATTATGGTTTATTAGGCTAAAACTTTTGACAAAATGTGTTATTTTGGCTAGACCATCTTATTTTTGTGGGCTAAAGTGCTCATTCAAACTCTCGAGCAGCAAATTCAGCCAAATAGAAATATGATATGATTGATAGGGATAGCGTGTGTCAATTTTAATGATCATGCAAGGATCCTATATGATTTTGATTTTATAAGTGACTTACTTCATTTGAGCATGGCAGGATGTATGGTCCTGCTAATCAGATCTTGACCATCTTGCTGGTTTGGTTGTCTAAGGATTGAATCCTTTGCTTTACCACGACAATTTATTAAAGTATTTAGTTGATATTGAGAGAGAAAGAGAAAGAAGAGGAGAGAGATAATGAGAAATAGAGAAAGAGAAGCAATCTAAATTGGCAAATCTTACTGGAATTGAGTTTAAAAATCGGGCATACTACTGCCTCTTATATATAGGCGTTATTCTCTTCTTAATAGATGTCCTAATAATCCCACTAATATTAGGATAACATTCAAATTCTATCTAAATCTTACAAATATCATTTAAATCCTAACTAATTATAATAGTAATAATTCTTATTTTAATTACATAGCAATAGCCCCTTCCCAAAAGACCCTTGTGCCCAAGGATCGAGTGCATAGAAAATTGTATCAATCTAGACCCCCAAAGCATCCTCATTAAATCCATTGGAACCAAGGTGGAACAAATAGCCGAGTAGGGAGCAGTCGAAAAGCCCATTTCTAGTAGTCATCTCGTGGCCCACTAGTTATGAAGGTAGGTGGAACTTGAATTGGGCCCAAGCTTTTAGTTCAACAAACTTCACCAATCCCATTAAAGCTTACTTTTGCTTCTGAACATGCCGCATGCATGCAAGTTGCCCTTTCATTGACTTTTCTCCTTGCAACATATGAAAATTTTTTATGCTAGACATCCCACTTGCTCATTCTTCAGTTGATGAACTTGTTGACAAGAAGATGAGGAAAGAGGGACATACAATGCTATTAAAGTTTGTCTTGGCATCTTGACCTAATTTAAGGGTGAAACAAAAGGAAATGGAAACAACAACATGCCTTAAGTCATTGGGTGGGGTCGGCTACATGGATTGCACGATGCCATTATGCTTTATCATTAGCCAAGCTTTTAGGAATATTATTATTTAAGAGGTCTTGTTCAATAACTTTCATAAGTGTTTTCTTTGATCTTCTTCCACCCCGCTTTACGGGGCTCAAAAGTAATGGCAAAATAAATGTAAATAAAACAACTTAAAACACTTGATTTGGCAAGTAATGGTCATGGTTTGCTTGCATGGATTTTGTAATTGATGCTTGAACTACTTGGCTTCTTACTATTTTTGTTTTTGTTTTTGTTTTTTGCAGGTCAGCCGAAGAGGCATCTTCTAACTACAGGGTGGAGTGTTTTTGTTAGTGCTAAGAGGCTTGTTGCTGGTGATTCAGTCCTTTTTATCTGGTACACAATTTTTGTTTATATCTATTGACCTTCAGGAGATTTGTTTTTCATTGGTCTCAATTGTAATTGTTATTGTTAGTATCATTTTTGAGGCTCATGATTATAAAGGAAAAAGCAGTGGGCATTTAAAAACTTTGAAATTTGCTGGCAAATCTGCATTGATTGTTTTAGTAGATTCTTAGAAGCCATCAAGGGAAAACATGGAATCTTAGACTAAGTGATGCATTTTTTTTTGAGGGTCAGCATAGGTAATGCATATTATAATGCTTATAATAGTCAAATAGGTTTTCCCTTCTGATAAAACATCTGTCTGTGGGGCTTTCTTAACCTGATTTTATACATTGATCTCATTAGTCTGTTATAACAAAATAACCATCCTTTCTTCACAGCATCTGCTGTCGTCATCAATTTGAATGATCAGTGATGATGAATTTTTCTTTGTATCTCTATTTGAGCTGTTAAAATTTTAGAATAAGCAACAAGTAGTAGCATAATCCATCTTCCTGCTCTTTTGCACCAGGAATGACAAAAATCAATTACTCTTGGGAATTCGGCGAGCAAATCGTCCACAGACTGTCATGCCATCTTCAGTTCTGTCAAGTGACAGCATGCATATTGGTCTTCTTGCTGCTGCAGCTCATGCGGCTGCCACAAATAGCCGCTTTACTATATTCTATAACCCAAGGTTGATAACTTTAATGTTATAGATGGTAGTTATTGCAATACAAATCTTTCTGAATCCTAACTTTCACAAGTCAAACTTGTTAATTTCTATTTTCTTCTTAATAGGGCAAGCCCATCAGAATTTGTGATTCCCTTGGCTAAGTATGTCAAAGCTGTGTATCATACCCGAGTTTCTGTTGGTATGCGATTTAGGATGCTATTTGAGACAGAAGAATCAAGCGTCCGTAGGTAGGTATTACTTGTGTTCATGACATGATTTTCCACTGGTCTGGTCATTTTATAATCAAACTCGGCTGTCACATTATACATTATTTGCACAATATTTTGTTTTACATTGAAAGGAGCTATATGAATGAGGAGCTTCTGTTATTAATATTATCTATATGAATTTAAATCATAGTCTACAAGGAGCTATACTATTCCCAAGTGGTGAATAAAAAGCAACTCAACCCAGGGACTGAGTAGCTGCACAGGTTTCAACAGCTAGATGGTGATGAAATTTAGAAAATGTTTATATTCTTTTCAAAGGGTGGAAAAATAACGCTGAATTAATCTGGATTGTGCATTTTTACATTCTTTCAAGAGACAAAGCTGAAGCTTTTGTCATAAAAGGGGGGGAAAGATGAAGCTGGAGCTTTTGTGAATCATTGCTATCATTGTCATCGTTGTCATCATCATATCATTACAAGAACAACCGCCATTTCCTTTCATTACTGCTTATTTTCTGTGGTTTTATTAAGCATTGATTCGTTCACTGAATTTAGTATGTCCTTGTCCAGATACATGGGTACTATAACAGGCATTAGTGATTTGGATCCTGTTCGCTGGCCAAATTCACACTGGCGTTCCGTAAAGGTTTGTCAAGATTGTTCATTTTAGACAGCTATGGGACTTGTCAATACAGTTTTTTGAACAATATTTGGAACCTTTAAAGATGATGTAGAATGTGTACTATTTCACCTATTGGTGTAGGTTGGCTGGGATGAGTCCTCTGCAGGGGACAGGCAGCCTAGAGTTTCGTTGTGGGAGATTGAACCGTTGACAACATTCCCTATGTATCCATCCCCATTCCCTTTAAGGCTGAAACGCCCTTGGTCATCAGGACTACCTTCTTTTGGTAGTATGCATTGTTTTACTTGTGCAGAGAGTTACATGGCATCTCCACCTTTTTTTGGCTCAAGTTAATTGCTGTCCCTGTATGTGTGCTTCAGGTATAAAGGATGGTGACGTGAGCATTAGTTCTCCATTCACGTGGCTCCAAGGTGGGCTTGGGGATCAAGGAATGCAATCTCTGAACTTCCAGGGACTGGGGGTTGCACCATGGATGCAGCCAAGACTTGATGCTTCTATGTCAGGACTTCAGCCAGAAATATACCAAGCTATGGCTGCTGCTGCACTTCAGGAAATGAGGGCAATGGGTCCATCTAAACCTTCTTCTGAATCTCTTCTGCAGTTTCAGCAGTCTTCAAATGTTCCTGGTGCTCCTTCTGGTATCCAGGGGCAAGTTTTACAGCAGTCTCAGTCGCAACATGTTCTACGCAACTTTCAAGAAAACCAGATTCCTGCTCAGTCTTCACATCTGCAACGACAGTTGCAGCGTTACCATCCTTATAATGATCAGAGGCAGCAGCAGCAGCAGCAACCTAACAGTTTACCTGTTCAGCAGCAGATCTCAAATGTTGTCTCTCCTTTGTCTAATTTTGCATCACCTACCCAGTTTCTCTCTCCATCCGTGCCAACCATTGCTTCAAATTGCCAGCAGCAGAGTTTTCCTGAACCTGCCAGGAACCAAATTCCCAGCTCTGATGTTTCTGCTATCCATAGTCTACTAGGATCGTTTCCCCAGGATGGAGTATCCCAGTTACTTAACATGCATGGGTCCAACTCTCTGGTTCCTCCTGCTTCCTTACTACCTAAGCAAATAGCTGTTGAACCTCAGCTTCAAACTGCTGCTGCTCACTGTGTATTACCCCAGATGGAAAACTTGGGAACATCACAGTCAAATGTATCTGAACTTCCTATTTTGCCTCCATTTCCTGGAAGAGAATATTCTGCATACCAAGGTGCTGGTGATCCTCAGACCAATCTTTTGTTTGGGGTTAATATTGATCCTGTTCTTATGTTACAAAATAGCATGTCCAACATGAGAAATGTTGGCAATGAGAATGATACATTATTGATGTCCTTTTCAGCTTCAAACTTCCCTGGTGCTACAGGGACTGATTATCCTCCAAGTTCAGACATGACAACATCAAGTTGTGTAGAGGAATCTGGTTTTTTGCAGTCTTCTGAAAATGTGGAGCAACCAAACACATCAACCGGAACCTTTGTCAAGGTGATATTTACTTTTAAATTTTGTGCCTTATCACCATTGTTTCTTAAAATAATGTACTCACTTTTTGTTGAAACTGGGCATGTCATATTTGGAGGAATTGCTTTCTTAAGTGTGGGACATGTCATTCTTCTAAAGTTTTTGTGAGCTAAGTTCATATAACAAGTTGTGAGGGTGTATTATAGTTGATAAATAGACAATTCCTTCTATGTTAAATTGTGTTCCAGTTGTTCAATAATGCAGTTTGTAAGTTAGAATACAAGAGGAAGAAAGGCTGGTTTATAACCTGGAGAGGGCATTAAGAACTTAATATCATAGATTGGTGTTATTCATAGGTTTAGAAACATCAAAATTTCTGGAAAATAGTGAAATAATTGGGCAGCATCTGAACATTTATGGAAAGAAGGAATTTTATGTTGCAGAGATCATTTAGGTGAACTCCTGCAGATTAATATGTATAAATGCACTTGCACTGATCATATTTGGTTGAAAAGGGAACATATAAACTGTCAATAAATGGAAACTAAGGCCTCAAGGTTCTCTAGCTCCCATCTCCAGGAAAATAGAGTTGGCATGGGTGATTTTGGAGTTCTATTCTCATGTTAGGAGATCATATTTCCACCCAGAATATTGGAGCTACACAATTTCGCGGCTCGCATCAATCTCTTTCTAGTGTGTTGAGAAGAGGTCTACTGTCTGTGTACTTGTATTCTTCATAGCATTATTTACTGTGTATGAGCACATATATAGGTTGCTTTGTGAGTTACGTGAGTGCCTCTCAAAGCATTATTTATGAATGATCTCTTTTTGCTTGATGAGGTTATATCTAATGTTTTCTACTCTTATTTACTAGTTTTTCTCCTTTGCTGAGCTTGGACTGCTACACAATTTAGTTTTTGATGATTGTGGTGTGATTTTGACAGGTTCACAAGTTAGGGTGCTTTGGGAGGTCACTGGACATCTCTAAGTTTAGCAGCTATGATGAACTACGTAGTGAGCTTGCCCGCATGTTTGGGCTTGAAGGCCAACTAGAGAACCCTCAGAGATCAGGCTGGCAGCTTGTATTCGTTGACCGGGAGAATGATATTCTTCTCCTTGGTGATGATCCTTGGCAGTAAGTCTTGATTTATACCAGTTCTTTGGTAATTCTGTGTACTTATATCATATTGGTTGTCATTTATTAATGGCTAGCTTTCTGCTGGTGTCTGACAGTGATTATTTATGGCATGGTATGTTTACAAGATCAATGGTTCTGTTTGATGCTGTACAGATAATCTACAATTTAGTTTCATTTAAACATGGAAATGTAACATTGATTAATTTTTTTTGTCTCTCATATTTACCTTGCTCCTTGATATTGAATGCATGTATTGCTTTGATACTACTAAAATCTTGTATTTAAAATACCAGAATAATTTGCCTCTTGCATCCTTGGGGATATTTAAACTTTTAAAGTAATAAAAAATGATAATACTGTTTAAAACATTGCTGCTTGATAATTGATATGACCTTAAGAACCACAATCTATTGTGATGAACAGTGCCAATTATGAACGGATAATATAAAAGTTAAAATGATGTTGTGGATTGATTAGATATTAGGAATAGCTATAAATAGTAAAAGGTTGATTTATAGATGTATAGGTCTTGTTTGCTTACTAGAAATGAATGGAATGAAATGGATTGAAAAAATAAAGGAAAAAGTGAGATGATTAAAAGGGATAGGTAAACACATCATGAAAGGAAGGGGTAATTTAGTTTATATGGTAGAGAATTATGATTCATGAAATTTTGGGGGCGGTGATGATTTTCACATATATTAATGAGTTTTATCATGCTTACAATGAAGTGATTTAGTTTATTTTTGTCTTATTTTTTCAACTCACTCCATTCCATTCCAGTAATCAAAGAGGACCATATGTATTACTGTGCAGTATTGCTTCCATTTTGCTATATAACTTAATCAATATGACCTGTTAATTTCTTTTTCCAACTTGTATCTTAACAACTAGATCATGATTATAAGCTGCATTGCAGTAAAACCTGCTTGGTATCTCTGTTTCTTTCTTTTAGTCCGCTGAAAAAATTCATTGCTTGCATGTCATATGGTGAAACACAAGTAACCTGGACTATGGAATGATTTTCTGGTGAAGTGCCTTAGTTACAGCCAATCTTAAGAGCACCTATCCCAATTCAAAAGCTTAGACATGATTGTATTTTGGGGGGAACAGCATTCAATAAAGCATTTAATAAGGTGTCTCTAGGGAGATTGATCTTAGGTGCTCTTTCTGTTTCTGGTTCTATATTCATGCAGAAGGCTTTTAATTCCTAAAATTTATGATTTTTCATTTAGAAAAATTGTCGGTGGTTGTAGTTGAAACTTAAATGACCGAGTTTTTGTCCCAAATTTTGAATCATATTTTGTTATATACTAAGAGATTTACTACCACATGTCAAGAAGACGACCTTTTTTTTGGCCATTAATAGACATCATGTGAATGTTTTATCTTGTGAATGTCAAAGCTCCATACAATTACGGCTCCTTTTTTTTTTTGGTTGCCTCTCCTTAGCCTTTACATGCACTATGCTGTTTCTCAATTATTTCTGAAACAGTTGCACTTGCTTCTCTTTGCAGGGAGTTTGTGAACAATGTGTGGTACATCAAGATTCTCTCTCCACTTGAAGTTCAACAAATGGGCAGAGAAAGTCTGGGTCCCACAGCTTCTGCATTGGGTCATAAGCTTTCTACCACTGGCAATACTTGCGACAACTATGCAAGTCGGCAAGAGCTGAGAAATCCGAGCAATGGCATTGCGTCGATGGGGTCTCTGGACTACTAGAATGATCTGCTTCACAGGCATATCGGTTAGCAATGTCTGGAGTCATTATGGAAGATGTTTCTCATATCAGGATGGCCTGGTATTCTTATATAGCCATTTGTAGTTGAGATGCATCAGTAGTGATTCTGCAAGGCCTATTCAGATCTACAGCGAATCACTGTAAATTATAATAGGTGACTTGTTTATTTAACTGCCATTACAGCACTTAGATCAGCACTAAATGTAGAAGATGGAATCAAATCTTAATCATCAGGGTTTGTGATTTCTCCCCTTGAATTCCTCTTCCAAGTTATAGGACATATTTAGAAGAAAGATGACGATAAACTGAGTACCATATTGCTTGTTTAATTTTTCTGTTGAAGATCTCACAACTTGGTTCAATGTAACATGGTAAGTTTAATCTTTCTGATGTCATTTCAGTAGAGTTTGACCTGGTTTGAGAGTGTTGGCTAAGCCTGGCTTGCTTGGGTCAATATTTTGTTCTGAAAAATTTTAAAGTTGACCTTTCATAATCAGATGATCAGTTTATATATCTAGCCACTTGTTTTATATTTTTCTTTAAATATTTATACAAAAAAGAAGGAAACGTACTCGGGAAGGATAACATTTAAAAATGCAGTGATTTAAACTTTAAAATCTAGTGGGATGATTGAGATTTCTTTTCATTTTGTATATATTTTGAGAGAAATATGATTATGATGTTAAAGACAGTTTTTGATATACTTATTTTTGGTTTCATCAAATGACCTTTATGATCCAGCCAGACCCAGCTCATTAGATTTAGATGGTGAGACCAAATGAACCTACCAATGTTGTCCGATATATTATAGTGTATTCAAATTTGAAAGCTTTCAAGAGACGTGGATGATGATGTTGATGATGCCATTTCAACAAATGCGCGATGTTGTGGAGTTGGACTCACGTATCTGATGATGGCTTCTTGTGTCGTTTGTGGATTTTTTTTGTAATATATATATTTTTTCTGTTCGTATGAATTTTGCTGTTAATATTAATTTTTTATGAGAGTTTACATGACCTTTTTGGGCCTGTGCATGTGGGTGTTACTAAATTCTTCAACGAAAATGACACTCACTGAAGTAGGGCCCATATCTGATGCAGTACACAGTTTAAGTATCGCAAAATTCAATTAACAACTTAATGAACATAATGACTGTTGCTTTAATTATCATTTTACTTTACCAAACGGTCACTTGAAACTTGCAGTATTTAACTGTGTTGTGCAAATTTTAAAATAATTCTCCCTATCATATTCCGGTCCTAATAATTTGAAAGAATGACAGAAACATTTCTCTAAAATATTTAAATTTAAATTTAAATGATAAATAAATGCTGTAAAATGTGAAAATTTCTTTCAAGTTTTTTGGGCCTTGTCTGTCATTTTAATTTCGTATGAAAAGACAATTTTGCCCCTCTAGAAAATTAAAAAAAAAAAATCCCAAAACCCAATCTTCCCTTTCCCTTCTGGCCGACGTCGTGTTTCTGTCATTCGCAGAAACAGAGGACTGTTGTTGCTCAGATCTTCTCCCTTGTACTCGTATTTGATTCCCTTCTTAACCAACGCTATCCTGACTCTCACCAAACTTGCTCAGCGACAATAATGGCGGTTTATGTCAGCCGCGGAAACAAAACTTGTCCTTCTTTTTCTTGCTTTCTTCTTTATTTATTATTCCTGTTCACCTCTTGCTTTCTGGTAGTTTCCTTCAACTCTATTATGGCCATTCATTCTTTTTTAATTCACCAGTTGAGAATGACATTTTTGGGAGTAAAAGAAGGGACTATTTGTTATTTACATGTGCGCAGTGGTAAACACAACACTAACCACCTTTGGTTTCTTGTAAAAATCTGGATTTGATGATTGGCTTCAGTTGCTTTTTTTTGAAACACGATGTAATGCCGGCGAGAAGGGGAAGGGGAGATTGGGTTTTGGAATTTTTTTTAATTTTTTTGAGGGGCACAATTGTCTTTTCACAAGAAGTTAAAATGATTTGCTATTTTTCCTAATAATTTTGGCAGGATTTTTCGGTCATTTTTTCCCATTGAATGCAATCAGTACTTGGTGTTCGATCCTCAACCAAAGGACACATGTTAGTATTTTAGTTTCTTTGATTGTTAGCTGACAAGACCTGCAAAAATGCTTCACCTAACCATCTGTCTCCTCTGCTCTTCTCTACTCATAACTACACCCAAAGCGGGAATCCCGAAACAAAGGAAAAACAAGCCATGAGTAGCTCTTCTCACCAAAGTCAGCCATTGCTGATGCATACCAGTAACACTACGGTTGATGATGATGATGAGGCTTGGATTCCAAATTATTCTTCTGCAAAAGCTGAGGAGCTTCTGAGGAATAGAGAGAAGGAGAAGCTTGTTACATGGAAATGGTGGGTTAGGGTTGTTGGGTGGGAAACCATGCTGATTTGGAAGCTGTCATGGCCTTCTGTGACTGCTTGTTTGTTTAACTATATGCTCATCTTTGTGACTCTTATCTTCGTTGGTCATTTGGGTGATACACAACTTGCTGGTGCTTCTCTTGCTTGTCTTGGACTTCAAGCTCTTGCTTTTGGAGTTATGGTATGTTGTTGTTATCCACAACGATTCTAAAATTTTCAGCTTCGAATTTGGCTTTAGGCTGTGTCTTGCATGATGTTGGATTTAAGGTTTTACATTTATAATTTTTAAATAATAAATTTAATTTTCATAAACTAATACTTTCTCCGATAAAAAATATAAGATATTTTTGGAGAAGTTAAATTCTAAAAAACGTAAGTTATTTTAGTTTTAGTTTTTCGAGATATAATCATTGCATTTTTTTTAAAAGCATCCTTTATTGATAATAACTTTATATTTATTATAAAGTGTTTAATAGGAGTAAATATGAAAAGATAGGGTTAGTTTGAAAGTAGGTAATTACTTTATTGGGGAGTGAAATTCAGTTAAAAATACCTTACATTTTTAAACGGAGAGAGTAATTACTTGTTCTTATCTTAGATTTTGTATCTATTAAAATGAAAAATTATTAAAAACACAGAAATAAAATAATACTAAATTTGGACTATCTACATTTAATATGATTTATGAACAATCCAGAATTTATATATAATTCAAAGGCCGTGAAACTAGAATCTATTGGACACTTGAAATTATACGAAATTAAATTAAAAATAAAAATTATTTGAGAGTTATAGCCTCAGTTTTATATCATAAAAATATTTAAAAAAAGAAGCTTAGATGAAAGTGAAAATGGAGAATAGAATTAATATGCGATCTAATGAGTGGTAAGCACATATTAATCTTAGTATGCATCAATATTAATTAATATATAGTATAAAATTAAACTATGATTTTGTACAAGTTTGAAGCAAATTAGTTATCAACTTATAGTTATAACTTAAATATAAAATAAGGGAACTTTTTAAAATTTCATGTTCTATTATATTATATTTCCTTTTATTCTATTTATATGTAAATTTTTATATATTTTATTGGAATAAAAAAATTTAAAATTATCAGCTATGTATAAAAATATTGATAAACTTTTAACTTTATTTCTATTAAATATATATAGTTTAATTAGGTATTTTCTCTTACTAATATTTAAATAGAGTAAAAAAATTGAGATAAAAAATTAATGACATATTTTATAAATATGATAAAAAATTCTTTTTCTATCACATAAATATGACCAAATGAGTAATGGGAAATTCTTGCCTGAATATACTTCCTTATTTATGTTCTATCTAGCATGGATAAGGAATAATAAATTCTGAATTAGTACTGCATGATGGTTGATATGAAAATAAATTTAAAGTTGAAATGACAAAAATAATTTTTATGAGTTGAAAGGAAGTACAACTGAAATAATAAATCACCATTAGAGAAATAACATCTTTGTTCTATTTTCTACACTTGTTAAATAAAAAATTAATTGTTATTAAAATAGAAAGGAGACTTGTTTTTTCTTGAACAATAACAAATCAAAACACTTGCTTATCTAAAACATGGCTATTTTTAATACTGGTTAAATAAGAAATTCATTGTTATTATAATGAATCAAAGACTTTTTGTTTTTAAAAAAAATGGCTATTTTGATATTTCTTTGCACTTGTTAAATAAGAAATTGATTGATGCTAAAATGAAATATGAATTTGTTTATTTTTAAATGGTAACTTGTTATTTCAACTATATTTCCTTTAATTTCATAAGGGTTATTTTTGTCATTTTAACTTCAATATTATCTTATTTTCATAATAGTCTTCATGGCGCCTGCTTTGTTAATTTAGAATTTATTGATCCTTATTATTTGTAAATATCATGTTTCACCTATCCTTGTATGTGATTTCACTTTTTTACAAGTATACATAGTACTAGACAAATGAGTTATAGGCTAGCCCGTGTAGGTTGGTATTTTTGCAGGTTGAGTTGGGCCAGCTCGTCAGATAAAACGAGCTAGAAAACCCATCTAAACTCATTTTTTGAAGGGCTGGCTAACCTGTGAGTTGGCTCGCAAAAATTTATCAGAATTTTTTTAACAATTTAAAATTTATATAATATATATATATTTCACATTTTAAGAAAAATTAGTAATTAAAAAACTTATAAATAAATAAAATAAATAGAGAATTTAACTAAGCAAATTCATTTTGCTAGATTTTTACTATTAATTATTTTCTTACCTAGATGTATTATCTTCTTACTAAGAAAGAAAATTTGAATATAAAATTATATTATTTTTCTCAATGAATTCATATTTATAATTTCAAATAATAAATCTTATGATATTAACAAATAATATATGTGCAAAAATATTTCAATAAAAAGTAATAAATCATCGATTTACAAACTGTAATAAAAATTTTATTTGTAATTATAAAAAGTAATTACACTATATTTTATTTTAAATATAAAAATATTTTTGGGATTCATAAATTATATATTTAAAAAATAATATCATTATTGTTGATTTATAAAAAATATAATGTAATTAAAAAATAAAAAAATATTTTTTAAAAAGTATGCTAGCCCGTAGGTCAACTCTTTTTAGCTCATTAGTTTTGTTAGTTGGGCTAGCCCAACTTACTTTAAAAAATGAACTAATTTGTTCAACTTATCTGTCAAATTTTGAGTTTAGCTTATGGGCTCAACCCGTTTTGCTAGCTCTACATGACGATGTGCCCCTTTAAATTTCAGTTGGGTATAATAAATTATGAAAATAATTTATTAAGTAATAGATTTTAATCATAATTAATTATGTTATAATGTAATTTATTTGAATACTATTTTTTAAAATTAATTTTAACAGAATTAAAGATGTTTAATAATTTAATCAGAATTAATTTTTAGTTATATAAGTTACTATATAATTTAATTCTTAAATATCAAACATTAATTTTTTAAAAATACGAAGTTTGAATTTTATTAAAAAAAGAGAAAACAAGAAGAGAGTTTGATTTTATTTTTATTAAATTATATGCTTTCTTTATAATTTTTTTTAGGTTTGTCTTTATAATTTTTTTCAATATTTTTTGATAAGATTTTTTGCAAAATTTTGATTTTCAACTTTTAAAAATAATTAATTTTTGATCCAAAAATTGATTAACCAAAAAGTGAATGTTTGGATAATTTTGTGAAAAATTGATTTTTTAGACCAAAAATCGATTATTTTTACTATCAAAACACACAATGATGATGATGACGGTGAATCCCGTTTGATTTCTCGCTATGTGCAAGAATCCACTTTTTCGTCTTCTTCCCTCTGCCACCGACTCCAAGGCTTTTCGTCTCACAAGTCGCATCTCAAAGTGCGTGAGCTTTGTCCTCGATTCGTTCTTATGAGAAAATAACGATCTCGGTTTTCTAGACGATGATTCAGATTAAAGAGAGCGAACCCTTCTCACATGCATAGCGAATCTGGGTGGCCATTGAAGATGAAGGGAGCGAATTTATTGCGGACCACATACCGCCTCATAAGGTGTAGTTGGATCAAGAATCCTATAAAAGAAGGTAAGGGAGTTGAAATCAGACATTCTCTTTCCTTCTTTCCCAGCGTCTTTGACTCACTTATATCCTTATCGATGGCATCCCCCGATTCAACGAGACAGTTAGAATCTCAAAACCCTCTCTGAAAGCTATGGTATTTGATGAAGAATTTCATGAAGGTTCCATTTTATGTATGCTTTTCTTTTTCTGTATTTAAATGGAACAGGTCATTCGGTTAAGGACATACTAGCATATAAATTTGTATTGGAGACTATTCTCGGTATCAGAGACTTTTCCCTGAATAACTATCATTGAATAGTAGTAGATAGACAACCTATATAAAATCCCTAAATCGTTGAGCTAAGTTATATATGTCATATTTTAACCTATATAGCTCATCGTCACTATGAATTTCATTGCTGGATGTAAGAGGGATGTAATGGTCATCAACTGTTTTATACTTTTTTCTGACATATATAATGCATATCCAGCCTTTTTGAACATTTAACTAAAGTAAATTTAAGCAGGTAGGAATGTCTGCTGCAGTTCAAACTTTATGTGGGCAAGCATTCGGGGCCAAAAAATATGCAGTGATGGGCATACTATGCCAAAGAGCAATTATATTACAGTTAGGGGCAGCTATTCCTCTGACCTTCCTATACTGGTATTGTGGTCCACTTCTCAGGTTTATTGGAAAATATGAGAGCGATGAAATTGCAGAATTGGGCCAAGTTTTTGGACGTGGATTGGTCCCTCAAATCTATGCATATGCACTTGTCTATCCTATGCAGAGGTTCCTCATGGCACAGAATATAGTGAACTTTCTGGCATACGTGGCTGTTGGGGTTTTTCTCTTTCATGTGCTTCTTACATGGCTAGTGGTTTCTGTTTTAGGCTGTGGCCTTTTAGGGGCAGCTCTTACTTCAAGCTTTTCTTGCTGGGTTCTTGTGCTTGTCATAGGGCTATACATTATTCTCAGCTCTTCTTGCAAGAGAACTTGGACTGGTTTTTCTCTTAAAGCTTTCCAGATGAAAGGATTCTGGCCTTATGTGAAGCTCACTGCTTTGTCCGCTGTTATGATGTGGTATGAGTCAACCTCTTTATATGAAACATCCTCAATTAGAATTGTTTATAAATGATTGGTAGTCGGAATTAATTGTATAAAGACATTTATGTGAGTTGCTTGGAGCACTTTTTGTTGAAACCTAGCTAATGTATCTTTGGCATGCTTACAATGCATGGAAGGGAAATGAACATCAATTGAGTACCTAGTTAATTTGCAATATATATTGAATAAAAATGAAAATTCTATTGTTTTGGCGTTTGTTCCTAAGTGTAACTATAAATTAGGGATTTAAATCCTTTGAAGTTGGTATTGGTAAATTTCTTTGAAATTTTCCTTTTTAAGAAAGAGTGAGAAAATTTTATATTTAAAAAAAGATAATAAAATGAATGAAAATATTAAAAAAAGAGGAAAACTTCACCTAAATTCACCAAGATTTAAATCCATAAATTAGGGGCTTATATGAAAATAAATTCTCTCAATTGACTTTTAGAGTCTATATGACATGCTACATGCGTGCAGCATATCATGACACATGCATGCACGCACGGGCGCGCGCTCACGTGAGATGAGTATTTAATTTTAAGGGGGTAGAGAAGCAATTAACCAAGATTACCTATTCCTGTATTAGTAATATAGTTCATTGCCATTCTCTTCTGCACCTCAATTCCTGCTTTCTGTTGAATGTGACTTGAAAGCAAAGTTTCCATAACCCAAGAATCCAGATACAATTCTTAATTATCTTGTTGCTATTGTCCTCTGTTGAATGTTGAATTGAAATCAAATTATTTGATATATCTTTTTTCTGTGTTTACTATCAGTTGATTACAATCATTTGCTTGATATGTGATGTGGTAAACAAACTTTGTCAAATTAATGTAGTTTGGAGGCATGTTACTATCTTGTTGTGTATCTGGTGTCTGAGAATCTTCGCAACCCTACCATCGTATTGGACTCTCTTGCCATATGGTAATTATTTTTTTTTTTTCTCAATCTCTTTGCATTTCTCTCTAGTCTAAATTTTTATACATGCGTGCATGCTTGAATTTCTAATACTGTGATTAACATGATTTCAGCATCAACTACGTGAACTGGAGCTGCAATTTTTCATCAGGCATGTTAGTGGCCTCCAGGTTTGTGTGTGTATGTATGTACTGTTTAGTCTTCGCTCTTGCAGTGCCTTGACACGCTATAGAGTTGAGATGTGATTGCGTTTGCAGTGTTCGAGTAAGTAATGAGCTTGGGGCAGGTAATCCAAGAGTGGCAAAATTCTCAATTGCGGTATGCAATGGAATCGGCATCCTCATTAGCTTCATTTTCTCAGTAATAATTCTGACATTTCGGGTTGGACTGATCAAGCTCTATACCACTGATTCTGAAGTTTTTGAAGTCACGTACAGTTTGTTTCCACTTGTTGCCATTTCTTTTCTCATCAATGGCAATCATTTCATCCTCTTTGGTAACCACCCAACATTGCCATTATTGTGATCAATAAAAATTCTCACGCATTTGATACTTGGTCGCGCATCCAGACAAATCATTTTAAAATTGAGGTGTCTTTTTTTCTTTCTCTATCTTTAAATTCCTAAAATTTATATTTCATTTATTTGACAGGTCAGGCAATTGGAAGTGGACGGCAAAGCCTAGTGGGTTGGGCGAACTTGGTCTCTTATTACGTTATTGGCCTGACTGTTGCTTGCCTACTTGGCTTTAAAACCAGCTTAGGAATTGCGGTAAGTTTGATGAACTTTATTAGTTTCCTTAGCATGCTAATAATTAAAGATAGCTAACACAATGTATTTAGGTAACGTTTGGTTTGATGGATTTGGATTTGCATTTTAGATTTAAAATCTTGTATTTTAAATTTTACATTTGAAATCCATGTATTTAAAATCTTTTGTTTGAATAGTTTAAAAAATTTCAAATGAAAAAGAGAGATGAACTAAGATTCAAAACAAAAATGAAAAATTAAAAATGATGAGTTATATTTTTATTTTTTAATTGACAAGAGATGAAAAAAATATACGAGAGTTATAGAGGTATCAATAATAAAAATGTGAAGAGAACAAGACGTTTGAAATGATTAAAATTTTAAATGATTAGGATATAAAGGAAATTTAAAATTACGAAGGAACTATAATTTGAAATGGATTTGAATTTGAATTTAATCTAAATTTATAAATTTTTATGCATCTAAATGAGGGATTTTATTCAAATCCAAATCTTTTTGATTCAAACATACCAGTAAGAAAAGTTGAGAAAAATGTGTGTGAAGAGTGGTTGCTTCTTGCACAGTGATACTATTTGGATTTGGATCTTATGAAGTACTTTTGAAGTAAGACAAGATATTTAAAGAACAGCGAGTAGAAAGAAGGAAAATGAATCCCATACATACTGAAACTACTCTTGTTTGGTCGTTTGGTGTCATTTTTTCCTCCCGCTTCGAAAGCACTTCAATTTCAGAGAGTCAAATTATATACTTTTGTGTCACTTTTTCAAATTGGGCGGCGACTAAGAATTTGGATATTCTAAGTTACAAGCTTGTAAAATGCTTCTAAAATGAGAGGGAGTCTTCACACACAACCTAACTCCTCTATTGCTCTGTTTCCTGAGAACACTAACTTTTTCCCCTACCAATAGAACGCCTCAACTCCAAAAAAATTTACCGTATGACTATGTCAGTATTGTTACAATTATAAAGAATTGTAGTGAGAAGAAAGGGAAAATGAAGCTTTTGGTCCTTAAAATTTGTTTCAACTATCAATTTGGTCCTTAAAATTCACTATTTATCAAGTTCTTAAAAGTTTCATAACCATGCACAAGTAGTCTTATGGTTTGGAGATGAAATAACATGGGAACGACTAATTGTGTATGATTATGAAATTTTAGGACTTTTGATAGAGATTAAGACTAATTTGAAGGATTAAAAGTTTTATCATCACTAAAAAAAAGTTATCTCTTTCTCTACATCATAATGTGTTTTGAAATGTTATGATTATGAATAGGGGCTATATTGGGGTATAATCATCGGAACTGTTCTTCAGACGGCAACAGTGGGGATTGTGATAATACGGACAAACTGGGATGCTGAGGTATATTCATATATACTCAATCTCTGACCTTAGATCCTTCTCTACAGCCATTATTGGACCTGATTAAGATTCTTGTTTCGAGCAAATTTTCAAGCTAATTGGTTTGTTTTGTCTTTCTGATGTAGGTTGAGAAAGCTGCTGATCGTCTGAAGAAATCTGCAGATGAAGATATCTTGAACGACTTGGTTGACAACTGTTGAAAACAAGACCGCTCGTTTAAGTTAATTAATTAACCCTAGTTTGTAAAAAATCAACTTGAAAATTTAAGGGGATTTATTTGTTGAAAGATAACTTTTAAATTGGATTTTGTTTTAAAATACAAGTTTCTAGTTCTTAAAAAGGATTTAGTTTTAAAATTCTAGTTTCTTGTACAAATTTGAGCGAAGTTATTTGAAGATAACTTTAACTAGCTTCTGAAATAAAATTTCTTAATACATTCTCCAAATTTTCCCATTGTGAAATGGTTCCTTTAGGAGGCTCTCTTTGAAAGTTAAGAAAACGACGGATAAGGACGTGCAAAATAAAATAACCCTGAATCACCTGTTTACCATGATAATTTATATTACTTTTAAACATATTATGTTGGTCAAGCTTTTAGCATGCTCAAGCTTGAGCCTAAAATTATATTGTATAAAGTTTAAGTTAATGATTTATTATAGAAGTAAGATTTAAATTTTCGCTAAAAAGATGTCTATTAAGTGTTCAATTATGCCATGAACATGATTATATTTAAAAGGATATTTGTATCCAATTAAAAAAAGTTTTAAGATTTATTTTGCAGATTTAAGCTTTTCTAGTTAAAGTTTACTTAACTTTTCATTCGTTTGTAGCCCTAGCTAACATTAATTCTAGAAAAAAATATTTAAGTAGATCGAGTGTGTTATATCATTTGTAGTTTGTAAAATTAAATTGCTCTTACTAATTTAAATAAAATCTTGTGTGGCATTTTTAATTAATTTTATTCTTATTATAGAATGTATATTTAAATTTTTTATCTTTTATCTTTTTACTATCATTAATATCAGAATGTATTTATATTCAATACCATTTAAATGGCATGTTTGTATTGGATAAATTACAAATGATGTGATGTATTCAGTCTATCTAAGAATTTCTCAATCCTAAGACATAATGAAAAGAATAATTCATTATTTTCATCTCAATTATCATTGAAAAGCCTTTAGAATTGATTTGGGACTTCTATAGTCTTCTATTTTTTACATTAGCTTTCGCTATTTAATAATATTACCCATAAATCAAATATTTATAACTTGGACAAATTTTTTCAACTTCTACTTTCACTCTTATTTCTTATTGCTGCCTCTACAATTGAATTATCTTAAGTGATTTTTTATCATTTTCTTTTCAATATATAGGCTTTACTATGTTTTCTCTTACAATCACTTACAAAATTTCTTCATAGTCGTACTCTCATTTCAAGGTTCTTTTGTGAAAATCTTGCATTTACCATGCTTCCACCATTTTCTATATATTTTAGCATTTAATATTTATCATTTGTGTTTTCCTAGCTTTTTATTATCATCATGGGTAAAAGAGCAAATTGGCTATTAAATTATAGATTTCTGATTGTTTGGGACCCTAAACTTATTGTTGGTTTAATGTTTTCTTTTAACATTTGAAAATGATATAATGTGATCTCTATCGTTAACAGAAATTAATTTTAACTATTAATTGATAGAAAATAATCTCAAAAATAAAAAAATGGACCTATAAAATTTTTGGGTCATTATTTGGTCAATTAATGGTTAACATTATTTTTTGTTAACAATAGGTGTCAAATTTTATCATTTTCAAAAGTTAAAGGATAATATCTCACTAAAATTGAGTCTAGAATTCCAAACACTTTTGGATTTATAATTTAAGGAACAATTTGCCATTTAACCCTATCATTATTGGGTAGCCTACATTTATTATTTATATTTTTAAATAATATCAATAATAAATGATATTGTTGTTGTTGTTGTTATAAATAATAAATGATATTATTATTGTTGTTGTTGGTGGTGGTGTTGTTGTAAGTATCTACCGTTCAAACTTATGTGTATCTCAATTTGGGTTTGGTTCCTTTCCTTACTTTCTCTCAAGCCATAACGGTTCAAAATTGTTACTTTTGTAAAATAATGAAGTGAATAAATTCATTCAGTGAAACTATCTAATTTAACTATTGGAGTGATCCCTACATATAAGTTCAATAGATTTGATTAATTCAGATATGATTGCCGGGATTTATTCTAATGGAGGCAATATAATTTCAAAACATAGTTTAAGCAATTAATTAGATTCATTCTGATCTAATGGTTAGATCCAAGTCGTTGGAACAGCATATATAATTAAGACGATTAGCCTGCGCAAAAGACCTAAAAATAAAATTTAAAAAAAAAACCAAGAAGAAGAAGAGGAAGAGAATGACAATAAAGTCTCATGACATGTAATTTATGACAAATTAAGTTTTAAATATTGATTGTAATTTGTAAACATAAATCCTGTCTACAAACTAAAAGTTATATTTAGAAAAAATGTCTTATTTACAATTAGAATTTTTGAATTTATAATTGTCTGAATTAATATTTACAATTAATTTTTCAGAAGATTTTCTTGGGATTTAACTCTCATAAGTTCATTATTTTGAGACTTTAATGTAATTTTAAAAAAACAGTTAAGTACACGTGACAAACATGTATATTTTCATATATTTGATCTTAGTTGACAAAGTTCGTCAGCTACACCCTTTTTTACTGTCTGACTTGTTTCTCACCATAATAGAAACATTAGCCTGTTACGTGTCATCAGAGGAAGAAGAAGAAGCAGAAAAAAAAAACTCACAACAATAGAAGGAAGCAAAAATCAAATGAACTCTCATCAGTTAGGAGAATCATGAGCCATTGATGAGGGTGGACAAGGATGAAGATGATGCTTCTTGGATTCCACATTATGCTTCTGCACAAGTTGAGGAGTTTCTGGGAACAAGTACTATCAGAGAGAAGAAGAAGCTTGTTCTCTCACTGAAATGGTGGATTAGGGTTTCTGCTTGGGAGACTAAGCTGATGTGGCAGCTTTCATGGGCTGCTGTAACATCTGGTGTGTTCAACTGCAAGTTGATATTTGTGACTCTCATATTTGTTGGCCATTTGAGTGACTCACAGCTTGCTGGTGCATCACTTGCTTGTCTTGGTCTTCAAGGTCTTGCTGAAGCTGTCATGGTAAGCATTCTTCAGCTTTATAATGATTCTCTAAAGCTCATGCGTACCCTATTTTGATCAGTGTTTAATTTTCTGTTGTGACAAAAAAAAAAGTAGTATGTGATTTTCTATAAAGTTAAATATATTTTTTAAAATATATATACTAATTGTTAATGATGATGGCCGTGGTTGCTAGTAATTATATATTAATGATGATGGCTTCCATTAATGAAAGTAATTTACTATAATCATATATAGTGTATTTTAAAAATAAAAAAAACTTTAGGTTATTTTCATTTTTTTATTTTTAAAAAATAAAAATGAAATCAATCTTGAAAACATTTAATTTCAAAACACGTATTCCAAAAAATTTTGAGGCTTTTTTTATGTTTTTTTGTCAATTAACAGTCAAATTTAATATTTCTATGTTAATGGTGAGGGTAATATTGTGTTGTTTTGAAATATTGAAGGAAAATATTGCACTAAAAATAAGTTTGAAGGCTAACAAAAGAACCAAATTTGCAGATTAGGGAAGAAAATGGGTGGTTTCAAGTTTCATGGAAGATGTATAAATTGTAGATTGAAAGAAATTCTTCTTTTATTTAAAAAATATAAAATATTTTTAACTAAATTTAGGTTAAGGGGTGTAAAATATTATAATACATGAATCTTTCTTGTAATTTTCTCTAAGCCTAAGGGGTGCATTTGTCCCTTGGCTTCAATGCAGCGACGGCCACGTTCGATGTGTGTGAGTTAAGGGTGTCCGAAACCAATTTAAATCAATTGTACCAAACCAAACAAATTAACATGAGTCCATCAAAATTGATTATAAATGAGACTTGATTTGGCTTTTATTTTAACAAAACCAATCCGTTTAATTTAATTCAGATTTTTGTCTTTAAAACTTGAATTAAATCGAACCAAACTTTATTATATTTATTTTTATAAATTTTTCTAAGCCTTTTCCTTTGTTTCATGTTTAAGTATTTGTAAATCACTAGTAAAAATCCTATTATAACTAGATAAATGTTTTTTTATAATTATTTATGATAATTTCCAATATATATTAGTTTTAAATATATATTAAATACCTTTTAATAGTTAAACGTGTGTTAAAAATATTTTTGTCCTCTGGATTTTTTGTTGAAAATAAAATTAATATTTTAAAAAAAATCAATGGATATGCATCCATATTGATTATTAAAAAAAATCTTACAAATATAAAATCAAACTTAATCCAAATCTAAATCAAACCAAATGGAACAAAACCTCTCAAATATCAAACCAAACAATTATAAGAAAAACTGAATATATTTCAAGCTTTGCTGAACCAATCAGTTCGATTTGATTTATTTTTTTTTTTTTAAAACCATGCCAAACTGGATTGTGTTTGTATAAATATGTAGATAGATAAATACTCTCTTCGGTTTCATTTATAAGTTACATTCTAGAATATTTATTTGATCCCATTGATAAGTCATGGTGTGATTTTTTTAAGGCAATATTTAAAAGGTATTTTCAAAATTACCTTTCATAAGAGAGAAAATAGTAACATGACATTATTTTTTAAATTTGTTATATAGAGACATATTTAAAATTTTCTACACTTTTATTCTTTGTATTTTTTTGCATTAGTATTGATGAGGTTAGTAGAAATGACTTACTCTCTTTGGTCCCATTTATAGGGCAGAGAGAGAAAATTCTTTTAAATCTATTTATAAATCACCTCATTAAATTTTTATTGCAAATTTTTTTATTTAACCTTCATTGAATATTAGAAATGGAAAATATATTATTAAAGCATATATATTTAATAGAAATAAAATTAAAAAATTATTAAATTTTTAAACATAGTTAATAAATTTTAAGATATATGTAAGAGTGTGTGGGGCGGATTGTGTTTGTATATTTGAGCCATTAAAAAAAAAAAACCTAAAATAGTTCTAATCGTGTCAGCCAGTGTTTAAAAAAAGGAGACTTTCGCACAGTTTGAATCACCGGTAACAAACATGGTGCATTTTCATGCGTTTGATCGTTAGTTGAGAAAGAGAGATATAGTTGTCAGCTGATTCCTGTCCCTGTTGTCTCTCCCAGCATATAGCTACATCCCATGCCAACACACTAAAACAATAAATTACACAGCCTCAAAACCTACTCAACA